CAGAATTGTCACGAGATGAAACAACAAAGGCTCAGAACTGTTTCTAATCAGGGCAATAAAGGAGTGACAAGAATACTGTAACTTGGGGATTTTATGCTGCAGTCCCCTGCCAGAGAAAAGAGCTGGAACTGATGACTCGGCGTGTCCCTGTGCCCCATGAAGTCGTTATGAGACAGACACCAAACCAGCCAAACCTACCGGGTCAAGTACAGGGGAAATAAGCAGCCCAGGACCCCACAGGAACTGCCTATCGACACTCCACGTCACTTCATCAGAGTAGAACCTGGGCACATGGGAAGGATATAGCAGTTAACTGTTTTTTTATGAACTATACCATCAGCAGCAATCCCAATATGTCAGGGTACTGATTGTTTAGAATCGTGACTGAAGAGTGTCACAACAAAATTCCCTTTTTTTTTTTTTTTTTTTAATCTGAGGCAATCTGAAGATGAGAAGGTAAAGTCTTACCAGTTAGTGTTCTCTACCACTGTCTGAAAGCTAAGCGTGCATGTGTTCTTAACACAGCTTATTCAAGACTTCCAAGGCAAGGAAACATATTCTAATATATATGTATATATGATGGTGGAGAATAATTTGATTAGCTGACAGTAACATCTCATAGCAACTCATAAATGTGACTGACAATAATATATGCGTATATGCAGAAATTACAGATGGCTTCTGATTGCTCTTCTGATTACTCCAAAATGGTGTTTCATGAATTGAGAAGTTGTCTATATATATTCCAGTGTGCATTTTCACAGGCTACATCAGTCTTTAGAAAGTCTCTAAGAACATTTAATATGTCTGAGTTTTTTCATTCCTCATAGAGCTACCACAAAGGCTGATGAGCAAACTTACTCGTGCAAAACTGGCCGTACAACTGTGTCTCCTTGAGTATGAGCTTTGTAAAAGAGTGTATACAGGTAGGGCAGCAAAGTGTAGCGGATGTTCAAGTAATGCTTGGAGGTTTTCACCAAGACTGAATCAGGTCCAAAGGCAGCTGGATCCTGTGGCTGAAAACAAATACCAAATTATTATTATTTTCATCCCTCAGAAAACCCTCTGCCAACTGTGTGAAAAGTGACTTTCATAAATGTGAAAGTTTCAGAAAGTCTGAAATTCAATGGTGCACATCTGCATGGTGTTTTCCTTTTCAGTGGTGTGACCTGAGGTCCTGCTCCTTGGGGCTCCCTGTGTGCAAACACTGCACATCCTTCCTTGCCCATCTGCAAGGAGGGCACATCAGGGTTTGCCTGGGTTTCATCCCAGCGTGCAGTCAGGTGCATGCTAAAGGACTCCCAAGAGTCAGTCTGACAGTGCTTGCCCTTGGTGGTAGGCACAATGAACTGCCAAATAAGGGTAGTCTCAATTAACTCTTATGAAGCTGAACCTCTCAGAGCTAAGATTTCATGAAGAGAGCTTAAGGTTCTTCTGTTTTCAAACCGGTCAGGTCTATCATCATCAGTGTCAGTAATGATTACGAGTGATGCTATTAAAGGGAACGTGGCAGTGTAACACAAGGCATTTTGTAAGAGAAAGCACAGCTTACTATGTATCCTTCAGCATTGTGATTCCTGGAAAAGGGGTAAAATGCTCCTACTTGCATCCATCTTCTACAAAGTTCTTCTGTAGTGTTGTCATAGAAACCACAAATATCTGCTCCGATCTATAAACAAAAGCAGAACATGTTGGATGTACAGTATGCCACACCTCTAATCTCTAAACAAAACTTCTAGTTTTCAGAGATACATTAATTCACCCTTAATTGCTAACCTGAGTGACTGAGCCATTCAACACATTTATAACTTTTTTTCTTTCAAATTCAACTATGTTGTACAGAAAAATTAAACCAACTACTAGCTGACACTGCCCATACTTCTATTTCTTCCAACGCTTTACCTTCCTGTTTGGTGCTAATATGCATATGTTAGGAAAAAATCTCAAGAGGCATACAAATTCAAATCATGGAAAGGAACTTGGCTGTTTCCCTTATAAATCAATGTCTCTATTTCATTGGAAATGATATCAAAAACACTGAAGTGTTTTTTATTGCTTGCTAGTGTTTAAAAATGACTAGAAGGAACAGGCAGCTTGGGATATATCAGATAATATGTTTGTTATCCACCTTTGCCTCACCATACACACACAGCCATAGTATTAAAATGAGTGTCCTAAACCAGAAATCAATACCTAGGAAATAAAATGTTAAAACCAGATTCCTAAAGGGTATTAATTTAGAGGTGGAAAAGTAAGGTGGTTGTCTAGATAGCATTGCTGTCACAGGGGCAGAGTTACTATTTATCCATATGTTTTGAAAGGATGTCACAAACTACTGTCATACATAAGGAAGTCCAAAGAGGTTAAAGTCCAGCATTCCAGGTATGGCCCATCTTAAGTAATCCCATGTTGCTGCATTATCTCCCAGCCAGTGTCCTGTGTGCTTCCCTGATCCCATAAAAGTAGACCTTGAAATAAGAAAGCTTCGTTTTCCAGGAAACAGTGCTTCGATGGCTCTTAAAAGGAAATGAGATTGGAATTATGCAAAGGAAAAGAGACAACTCAGACATCAATAATTTTATACAAGGCCGATTTACGCTGACTGATTTACGATAATTATTCATCCCAGGGATGTGGAGTCCTTTGCTGTTAACCAGATGTGTTTGAGCAAATTTCAAGACATTAGTTTTAAATAATCTTTCTATACAGCTTTGACAACCAACGTGAGGCTTTAGTACCAACTTTAATTAGTGGATTTTGCCTTAGCTGCATTGACTTAAATATAATATAGTATTTTCCAGGAATTGGGTTCCTTAGGAGTGAAATCTCTTGCTGTTCTGGAAAATGCAGGCCTTTTACTGTTATTAAAACTTTTTGTAAAAGATTTTAGGACACATTCCTTACTTCTGTGTTGATAAGATCATGGAATATCCATAAAGACTGTGGACATCATAATGTTTCCCCCATGCCTGCACTGCGTCCATACAAAGCGTCTTGGAAAACATGAGCTTATCAAGAATACCTTCAATAAAGGAATACAAATATCACTTTTAAAGTACATTTTTATTGTTAATATTTCCAATCTTTTCTTTAATGCACATTCATGCCATTCAAGCCCTGTTTTCTCTTTAATATTTGCACTAAGGCCAGTATTACTACTACAAAACCAAACTGCTGCTCTTGGCTGCTGCTTTGATTCGCCTTCGCTCTGTGACCTTTTCTGCTCTTGAGCTTTGCACCCATGCAAGGAATAACTGAGAAATACTCTCTGAATCATTATCTGAAAACATGTTGGCAATTGTTACTTAAACCTACTACATAATACAAACTGTGAACTCCATTTTACTTCTGCATACTTCTCAAAAACTATTGATAATGAAAGAACATAGTTATATTATCAGACATAATTAACGCAACGTCAATATTCAGTAATAATTTGAGAAGGGGAAAAAGCCAGTTATATAAACCACGCCTTTGACGAGGGCCAAAGGATACCGGTGTTTTCTGTCAATAGTAACGTCCAAACCCCACCCATAAGAATTACACTAATCACTTTGCATCCTTGTAGCCAATTGCACACTTATTCATGAACTTTCTGATGTTTTGCTCTCTGATTAAAGTAGATGGACTTACTGGGAGTGAAAGGAGGGTAGTTTAAGTCATTCTGCGCACAACCGTTTTTCGAGCCTTTAATGAAGTTTGAGACTTCATTCATATCCTGAAAAGGGAAGATGCAGAGTGTAATGAAGTTTCCTCAAGTACCTTTTCCTAACAAAGTTTTACATTCTATTCTCTTAGCCTTTATGGGTACTTAAGGGGAGTGACAGAGGTGCTCTGGTGGGCACCTGGCGTTCAGCCAGGGTCAGCGCACCGCACACATAGCAGCTGAAGGAATGTATTTTGCCATACAGGTTAATTTAAAATTGTTACAACTGTTTAAAATGCATGGCAAAATATTCAGTAGAGTCTTGTTTTCTTTTGAAATATTTATTTAAGTAAAAGGAAGCAGGAAAACCACAAAAAGAATAAAGGGAAGAAGGCGTTGAGACAGGGACTGAGAAGTTTAAGTACAGATTTCCTTCAGACAGACGCTTTTAGAAGCTTCATTACAGGATAGTCCATTAAAAAACTAATTTGGTCGGTCAAAATGGTTCTTAACCTTGTCTGATTTCCATGAACTGTACCTAAAATCCACTGTGCCAGACTGTATTTTAGTTCTTTTGTGGGACAACTTGTCTAGGGAGTCTGTTTTTTTTTCGAAATTCTTATCTGGAATAGCAATTGCAGATTCACTAACCATAAATTATCATGAGCTACTTGGAGCACCGACACGCAGATTAATTCTACTATACACTGTATTCTGGACCTGTTTAGCACACATTCACTGAGCAGGTATGCAGGTCTCCAAATATTGCCATTCTGAGTACAGGACTGTGCTAGCATTTGCCTTTAGCAATGGTTCATCAATTGAAGCATTTTAAAGTGTCACCGAACATCCAAAAGCCATCACACTGATCATTTAAATGCCATGATTAATGATTCAAATTAAATTTAAAATTCAAATTTGAATTGCAAATTCAACACCAGAAGACATACACAACCCGCACTGCTTTCAGGTTGGTAATAGTAAACATCCCTTTCAAATTCAATGCAAATTGAATCTGATAAACATCTATCCTCGCCTATTTTTAAAAAATGAAAATAAAAACGCAAGTTCTGCATTACTTACAATCCAGATCCCATCATACGGCACTGCATCATAAAACAGTTTGCATTCTTCCACCCACCAGCTAGTACAGTCCGGGTTGGTGAAGTCTGGGAACACTGTTTCCCCTGGCCACACCTGCAATATTAAAAGTTAAATAATTAATTAAACCTGTAATGATATTAGAAATTCATAGAATCGTAGAACAGCCCAGGTTGGAAGGGACCTTGAAAGATCATCTGGTCCCACCTTTCATGGGAAACAGAACCCAGATGAGAGCATCTATCACCCTGTCCAACCACGTCTTGAAAAACACCAGTGATGGGGACTCTACCATGTCCCTGGGGAGGTTGTTCTGGTGATTGATTGTTCTCACTGTAAAAAATTTCTAGTGCAACTTGTACCCATTGCCCCTCATATTCTCCATGTGGCTCCTTGTGAAGAGAGAGCCTCTGTCCTCTTTGTAGCTGCCCTTTAAGTACTGGAATCCTGTGATGAAGTGCCCCCTGAGACTTCTCTAGGGAGAAAAGACCGAACTCCTTCTGTCCTTCCTAATAGAGCAGATTTTCCAGCCCTTTGGTCATCTTCACGGCCCTCCTTTGGATCCTCTCATCTCTCTGCATCTTTTTTGAACTGTGGGGACCAGAACTGGACACAGTACTCCAGGTGCCACCTGACAAGCGCTGAGTAGAGTGGGGTGATCACAGCTCTTATCTAGTAATGCCCCTGTGGATGAAGCCCAGGATCCGACTTGCCCTCGTTGCTGCAGTGGCAAACTTCTGAACTCACGGTCTGTCTGTTGTCCACCAGGACCCCCATAGATAGCCACTGAGGGCAGTGCTCACAGAATGCGCTGATGAAGACTTTTGAATGACAAACTGCTAGAGTGACAAGAGCTTGCGTGCAGAAAGAAGGCAGAAAGAGTATGGGCTTCTCAACTTGGGAGTTTTCAATTGCTTTTGTTTTAAGTCGTACAAGGAACAACACACAACAGAAAAACTTCTCGATAAAAGTTAAAATTATAAATTAAAAGGATAACATGGGAGCTGGCTTTTCAGTCACTATTGAAAATAAACAGGAGCTGGCTGGTGAATTTTCCCTTGAGCCTTCAAGCTACCTTAGTTTTCCTTTTTGTTTAATGTAAAAAAATGCAACAAAAATAATCAAGAAACGTTGAGAAGTATCATATCCTAAGTGAGACCTTATAAACTTAGTTCTCACTGGCAGACAATTTTGCTGAAAGAGGCGACCTAGAAAATGAGAGTTTAAAAGGAGCCCCCTGACCTAAATTAGACCATAACAGTGACAACCGACCAAGTTCAAATTCAGAAAAACACAATTACCTCCCCAAGTAATGCTGTTACTCCGTCTGATTCATTAACCCAGACTTTCTTGCTCTCTCCCCTGGTGTAGCTTTCATATGGAGTACCGTCAACTAGATTTTGTGTGCTAATAGCAGGATCCTAAAAATAATTAGAAAACAAAAAAAAGAAGAAACCAAGATACACTCCATCAATTATTACAGACTACTATAATATTAGGCAATAAATGTAATAATTACATAGAATAAGCAAAGCATAATAATAAATATTTATAATTATAGTATTTACAAGGGAAAAATAAGTAGTTAAATGCTTACCAATATAATAATATATTTTTGATCATAGGCATGCATATAAGCTGCAAAATTAGGGAGATCTTGAAACTTCACTTTGTCATAAGTAAAATCTTTCTTTTCCTCCATATAGTCAATATCAGTGATCTGAGCATCCTGAAAGAAAAGGGAGTTCAGCTTTAATATGAGAAGTGGTATGTAAAGGTTTTGTATATTAGTCCAACACAATTTCTTCTGAAAATTCCCCTTTGTCATATAGTGAAATTACTGCTGGGACTTTACTGCAGCCTGGCAGAAAGTACGCTGTCAGGACCACTTGCATACAATGTGCACCTCATCTCATACTTACATCCCTAATTAATGGTACTGACACATCTTTTGTGCCTAAAAAGGGCTGCATTTATCATTAACAGATTTTAAATGAATGTCTATATTAACATTCTTTCAAATACCCCCTGGACATGTGGCTATTTCATTGCAGTTGCCTGGCTTCAAGAGCTATCCCCTTAAATCCAAACATTTCTTCTACAACTCTTGGCTCAACATGCTATTTTTATTTGATTTAAGCCATCAGGCTAACGTAATCTGAAATCTGATTTTGATAGTTCATTGTGCTTTGCCTTTGGTTGTCAATTAAGAATAATATACAGTCCCATAATTGTCCACAGGACAATTAAAGAAAGTATTTCATGGATTAGGCAACATGAGAAGATAAGTGGATACAGCTGGAAAGTATAACTGAAAAAGTGTTACAATAAAGTGCTCAAATAAAACTTACTATAATTAAGTCCCACCATTTCCCACATTCTGATAATGAGTCTACCATTAAAATGCATAAAAACCTGTGACACCAGCAGCCTATGTATTAGAAATTTGCTAGTTTAAACTGGTGTCAGATGAACCAATTGCAGAATGCCATGGTCAGGATCTCTAGGTCATTTCTCTTGCAGAGCTCTGCCTTCATGGCGCTACTGCCCACCAGCCCCATACTTACATAAGGGAGTCCAATCGCCCTGTTCCTCTCCACCACTCTCTTCACCTCATCCAGAGAGCCGTAATTCCAGCGGCTGAGCTGGAAGCCCAGGCTCCAGTAGGAGGGCAACTGTGGCAGTCCCACGAGCTGCAAGTTGAGAGCAGAAATCCCACACACGGTCAGTGTGGGCGCTGCCCGTGTCGCCTCGGTGCCCATTTCCCCAGATCCATACACCTCAAATCTATTTGAATAATACACACTAAGCCTGAGCGTGTGAAATGAGCAGCGCACCCCCAAATGCAATATTTTTCTCTTTTTTTGTTTATTTTAAGAAATACAAATATTTTGGGACAATGCCCATTCTTTAAAGTGTCACAGAAAGCTAAGCAAATCTCAAGAAGTACAGAAGATATTGGTGGTACCTTATGACCATAAAACCATGGCAGACCTTTAAGCACATTATCTACCCTATAATAATGCTGTATGAAGAGGAATCGTCCTTATGACAAGAGTGGGCCCCAGCAAGGAAGCAAAAGTTATTCCATGTAGACCATCTCTGACTCCAATAACCACTGGGTAAATCAGTCAGGCCATACTGACTGATGAATTTAGCAGCTACAGATTTCTTGGGCCTCGAGCTGCTGCATAGTCTCTGCTCCAGCATCTTCAGCAAAAGTAGTGCTTAAGTTTCAGCTGCCTGTAACAGGCCAGCTAAAACTATCTACAGCCCAGCTTAACCCCAGCTAGGTATTACTAATGACAGCAGTCACATCAGGGACATACTAACAGTTATTCTTAGTTAAATATATACCAAGTCATGTTTTCAGTTAGTAGATAACGTAGTGAAGACGTACTGACATATAAAGAGGTGGGGGAAAAAAAAAAACAAACACCAAAACTTCCCAAGCATTTTTAAAAATCTCTTCATTACGGAATCTCTCTAGCTAAAGGTACCTTCAGATACTCCTGGACTACTTGCTCTGGAGTGTTCCCCAAGAAGATATAGAAATCAAGGATCCCACCAATGGTTCTGTAGGTCACTGCTGGAGCAGGCTGCACCACAAAATCTGCCAGACAAGAGTGGGCAAATCCAATTCTGAATACCAGCTAATTCTAAAATAACATTGTCATTTTCTAACTGACGATTAGAAAATTTACTTAAGAAAAATACTAAAAAATAATACCGAATGAATCCAAAACCATTAATTGAATTTGCAATGGAGATGAAATGTTTTGGATGATGCTTTTAAATGTCCGTATTTCCATTCCTTTACATGCTACAGAGAAGGGAATAAGAAGAAATCCAACGGCTCAACCTTTTATCTTTAAATTTTTAGTACAAATTTGCGTCCTCAAGAGATGCGCTCTGTAAAGCATACATACACGCATGCTTATCTAAAGAGACTAAAGGGCATTTACTTTCAAGTACTGCTCACTCCAAATATAGGTTGTGATTCCAGTGTCCTGCACATCTGCACAGAGCTGCACAGGCTTTGGAGAGGTTTCCAGTCCTCAGGTTTCCAGCGCAATCTTCCTGTTAACCATGTGCTTCTTACTGCTGACATCATGTA